GAGAGGGTGTGGAGAAAACCCTCTTGCACTGCTGGTGGGAATGTGAATTGGTACAGCCACTATGGAGAACAGTATGGAGGTTCCTTAAAAAACTACAAATAGAACTACCATATGACCCAGCAATCCCACTACTGGGCATATACCCTGAGAAAACCATAATTCAAAAAGAGTCATGTACCACAATGTTCAACGCAGCACTATTTACAGTAGCCAGGACATGGAGGCAACCTAAGTGTCCATCAACAGATGAATGGATAAAGAAGATGTGGCACATTTATACAATGGAATATTATTCAGCCATAAAAAGAAAGGAAACTGAGTTATTTGTAGTGAGGTGGACGGACCTAGAGTCTGTCATACAGAGTGAAGTAAGTCAGACAGAGAAAAACAAATACCGTATGCTAAATATATTTATGGAATCTAAAAAAAAAAGGTTCTGATGAACCTAGGGGCAGGACAGGAATAAAGACACAGACGTATAGAATGGACTTGTGGACACATGGTGGGGGAAGGGTAAACTGGGACAAAGTGAGAGAGTGGCATGGACATATATACACTACCAAATGTAAAATAGATAGCTAGTGGGAAGCAGCTGTATAGCATAGGGAAATCACTTTGGTGCTTTGCGAGCACTTGGGGTGGGATAGGAGGGTGAGAGGGGGATGCAAGAGGAAGGGGATATGGGGATATACGTATGCATATAGCTGATTCACTTTGTTATACAGCTGAAACTAACACAACATTGTAAAGCAATTATACTCCAATAAAGATGTTAAAAAATATATACAGTATCACTACCTCCTCATCCCTGTTACCCCATTCTCCTTTACCACCCCTTTTTTCCATTCTTTTCACACCTGTTCCCTATAGGTAACCAGTCGCCTTAGTTTCTGATTTATCTTTTCTGTATTTCTTTTGCACATATGGGCAAAAGCAGTATGTTTTCTAATATTCCTTTCTTTCTTAGGCCAGCATTGTATGGATTAATCTTTTGTGGTTTGCATTTTTCTTTTAGCAGTATGTCTTGGCAACCACTTTATATCAATTCACAGAGTTCTTCCTCATTTTTTTAAATAGCTGCTGAGTATGCCATTGTATTATATACCATAAATGTATGAACACTTAGGCTGTTTCCAATATTTTGCAATTACAAACAGTACTGCAATGAATAACCTGTGTATGTGTATTTTTCCATTGTTGGAGGTGTATATTCAAGTGAATAGCACAGATCTTTCTTCCCCTCCAATCCTTCTTTCCTCCAGGGAACCAAGAGCTGTGCTGATGTTACTGCCCATATAATGTTTTCTTTCTTAGCTCTACCTTTGAAGTCTGTAATCTCTGACAATAAGCACAGATTGTGGTCAAGTGTACACTTTCTGAGAAAGACGTCACTCCCTGTCTCAGCCAATAATTTGGGTGGCACCCCCAGCCTTGTACTACAGTAGTGGTTTTCAACCTTGTCTGAACATTAGAATCACCTAGGAGCTTTTAAAATACCATGCCTAGGCATGCTCTAGGTAGATTCTGCAATTAATGCAGGATCTCTGGGTGTGGGACCCAGGCACCTATATTATTTTGAAGCGCCCCAGAAAGTCCAACGTGTGGCTAAAGTTGAGAACCACTGGTTATATCCTTGAACTGTTACAATAATCTCCTGGCCCTCACCATACTGCCTGTGATTTGAGCCAGCTGCAGGAGTGTATCCTAGCTGACTGGGAGGTGCTTCACTCAGAGAATTCCTGATTTTTACCTGGAGAAGAGGTAAATACCTGCTGGCCTAATTTCAGGAGGATCTGTAAAAGTCTTTAATGAAACAGAAGTTCAGCCTAGCTAAAAAAAGTTCTTTCTCACATAGAATCTGAATGACAGGTACAAGTTGCTTCAGGGCGAGAAGGAAGGATATTAAATTTCCCTTTCTCCCCTTCAACACACAAATATGGGTACCTTCCTTTGTAGTTGGTAGTATTAATAAGACTTTGTAGGGAATTCCCTGTCTGGTGGTCCAGTGGTTGGGACGTCACACTTCCACTGCAGGGTGCATGGGTTCGATCCCTGGATGGGGAACTAGGATCCCGCATGGCGCATGGCGCAGCCAAAAAAAAAACAAAACAGACTTTGTAAAGCAAAAGTCGACCAATAACACTGTTTATCATCAAATCAAAGATGCCACAACTTATAAGACACATGATTATCTTATCTTAGTGATTCTTATCACTAACAAACCCACTGCTAAATATGAGATATAATAAAATGTAAGATATATCCCTAATTCAGAGATTTTTAAATGTGGAAAAGTGTACATATTAGAATTGATGAAATACAGTAGATCTTTAGCCTAGACTTCTTCTTTGACCTCCATGCTTGTAGGATCACTTGAATTTCTCACAGGCTCCTTAAACCCAACTTGTCCCAGTGGGGTACTCTTCAACTACATTGCTAAAGCTATTCCTTTTCCTGCATTCTCTACTTGGGCAAATGGAACCACCAAACTAGAAACATGGGAGTCACACCAGCCTCCTGACCTTCTACTTTCCACATGCAAAAGGTCTTTCCCATTCAGTCAGTTCTGTCTGGTACCTCTCTTGAATGCATTGCCTAGGTCTTCCTCATCTCTACAAGATTACTATAGTAACCTCCTAACTGCTTTCCACTCCTCTAATAAAGCCCTGCTCCACACTGTCCTTGCTTTCTTTCTTTAAGCATCAATCTGATCATATTATTCCTTGCTTAAAAATCAAACAAGATGAATACTCCATCCAAAAAATAGAGGATATGAACCGGTCACCTCACAGAAGAGAAAAATACACACTTACACATGTGAAAAGTTGATCATCCTTATTAGGAAATAAATGTAACAATGACATTTTTTCATCCACCCAGTTGGCAGCGCTTGAGAGAACTGATAATAATGAATGATTACAAAGGTGTGCAGTAATACTCCTACATACCATTGTCGGTAGTACAATATTTGAGATGCATTTTAGCCATGTTTTGGATATGTGAAGGAATGCAAACTGCCTGTTAAAAACCAAAATTCAACCAAGTAAGTTTGAAGATCTAATTGGCATTATTAAACTAGATGGGCAGCATCCCATCTAGTAAACAGAAGGGCACTCTGAGGGATGTACAAAATGGAAGCTTTTTATAGGAAGAAGGGTAGGGTTAGGGAGTTATTAGCAAAAGAAAAGAAAGGATTATTTTTAGGTCAAGAGACCTTCTTTCTGGGAGGAAGGGAATGTCAAGGGTTTTATCATGCAGATTGCTCCTTCTGGGGGGTGTTGGGTGGTAAGCAGAGGTGGAGAGGGCCCAGGAGACATATTACCTCGTTGGTGCTGAAAATTCCAGACTAGCCAATAAAGATTACATTTCTGGTGAAGGTTTGAAACTGAATTTAGATCAGGTGTTAGATCTAGATCTGGTATCACGGCTTTAGCACAAGTGACGCCATTTTGGGCCTGTGGTTTTCTCTTTAACATGTCTAATTTCTCTGAGCCTCAATTATTGCACTTGGTCAAATGGGGCCAGTAGCTACCCTAATGTTCTCAAGGAAGTGAGATATTTTTTTTTCTTTTTTTAATAAATTTATTTATTTATCTTTGGCTGCATTGGGTCTTTGTTGCTGTGCGTGGGCTTTCTCTAGTTGCAGCGAGCGGGGTCTACTCTTCCTTGCAGTGCGCGGGCTTCTCATTGCGGTGGCTTCCCTTGTTGCGGAGCACGGGCTCTAGGTGCGTGGGCTTCAGTAGTTGTGGCATGCAAGCTCAGTAGTTTTGGCATGCAGGCTAAGTAGTTGTGGCACACGGGCTTAGTAGCTCTGCAGCACGTGGGATCTTCCCGGACCAGGACTTGAACCCGTGTCCCCTGCATTGGCAGGCAAACTGTTAACCACTGTACCACCAGGGAAGTCTGGAAGTGAGATAATTTAGGGGAAAGTAGTAATAGCTAACATTTACTGGGTACTTGCTGTTTTAAGTATTTCATATGTGTTTACTCATTTAACCTTCACAATAACCCTGTAAGCACTACCCCCATTTTACATAAAAGAAAACTGAGACACAGAGGATAAAATACTGCCCAAGGGGTGAAGTTAGTACTAAGAAAGGAGCTGGGATTACTGGCTACATAAGAGGCCACATAATCTACATTAAGAGGATCTAGCTCAAGTCCTATTTTTTTTGCAGCCAACCTACGCCCATCTTTCCTTTTTGTCATAGCCCACAGCATCCATAGTCAAAACCTGTTTATACAGAATTTGCCCATTCGCTAGTTACATCAACTGGCCTCTAGTTGCTTTGGGTATCTCAACACAGTTCTGTTTGATTGAGTTCCAGGGAACTCAGCCACCTCCCATTCCAATTCACTTCCAGGGTCCTGGTCAACGCTGGGTACACGGAAAATCCTTAGATAAATTCTATCGGACGTTTCTGTGGGATCGATGGCATACCTTTACAAATGTGAAATAATTCTCACGAGACTGAGACAGATACACGATAACCAGGCTACATACAGGGCGAGTACCGCCTAGTCGCGTACAGCTGCGCTCCACACTCGAGCTCCGGGGCCAACCGTTCCTGCTGTGCTGCTTCAGGGACTCGACCGGAACCCTTCCCGGCGGCATCTGAGGCAGCCCGCCGGGACAACGCCGCTGAACGCACAACACGGGAAGGATTAGTAGTCTAACTATGTGCCTAAACTCTCTAGCTCACTTACATGATCCGAGAGAAAACAGCCCCAACTTCTTGCACTTTAAAAAAAAAATCCGAGTGACGATAGCATTTTTATCCATTAAAAAATATCATAGTCAAGTGATTCCGAGAGAGTTTTTTTCTTCTTTTTGGTTAGGCATATATATGGACAGCCCACTCGAAAGAACAAGGAAGGCGAGGGAAGAAAGCGGAAGCCGTGGGGTCTTCTAAACCAGAAAGTCTCCGGAGCTTGCGCCAGGCTCTTTGCGGCGCCCCCGAGTTAGACGCAGGTTTTGGAAGCGGTTGGGAGAGAAGGTGTCGTTGCTGGAGCTGAGACCAGACGGCCAGAGTCCTCAGGGATGAACCTCGAGTTACTGGGTGAGGAGGACTATGGCTGCTTCTTAGAGAACCTTTTGGTCCTGGAAAGGAGGGAACCCAGGCGGAGGGGACTCAGGCTGCAACATTAGGGACACAGTTCTAGATGCATCTTTGGGCGCCTTGATATGGAATAGCAACAGGGAGAGGAAGCCTAGCTTCTGCCTGAGCGGAATGCATTGCGTTTCCCGAGGCTCCTTTGCAGTTCAATTGTGAAGCGTTAGGGACAAATAGTTTGTGACTTAGTTTCGATTACAAGGATCACAGGTGCTGAAATAGCCCAGAGCAGGCAGGACCAGAGTTACTGGGGAAGGAATCTGAGGAAGTGAAGCTTGAGGTAAAGCTTTGAACACTTGTCAGGGTTTTGGGTGAAACATGGGGTTTTGAAGAAACATGGGGTGCCTAAGGAGGGGAACGTGTTTATCTTCTAGTACAAGTCCCTCATTGAATAAATTAAAAAAGGCTCAGAGGGTACTGACTTGAAGGCACTAAGCAAGTAAATGGTATAGTTGGCATATAGTTGGCACTGGAATCCAGTTACCTTGACTTTCTATTTAAAGTCTTTATCAGGGACGGTGTGTAAAACACTGAGCGGTGAACTACAAGGCAGTTTCCTTTTGTCACCCTTTCTGATTCATTTCCTCCTTACCCTTTACCCGTTGTTTATAAACTGTAGGTTCTTCTGGGTTTTCATTAGGTAATATTTAGCATCGTAGCCTAAGGATGTCTGAGGTTTTCAAGAACTAAGCGACTTGTTATTTTCAGTGGTTGTGTTTCTCTTTAAAAAAAGTTAAATTCAGAAGATATACTGGCAGTCTTAAAGACTGTAAAGCTATTTAAGGAATGGTCTTTGCTTTTAAGGAGCTTTTTGTTAAGTGTGGAGAATAAGGTGTTTATGTAAATAGCCATACTATATTGCAGAACATAGGTCACCCTTTTTTAAAAAAAATTACTTTTTATACAGTAAGTTCTTATTAGTTGTCTGTTTTATACATATTAGTGTATATATGACCAGCCTTAAAGATTCTTTACTAAGGGCTAAGAACATTTGGCAGAGGGAGTGAATATCTTTGGGGCAGGGGAAGAAAGGTAATCAAGAAAGAACAAAAACAAAAAAAACAAACCTGTGGAGGATTTGGAGTTGTGAGTGGATATTTAAGATTGGTAAAATATTGATAGACTGAAGTATGAAGGTATTGGAAGGAGTGTTTATTAGGAATACGTTTGAGCTAAGACATCAGTGAGATGAGTCCTAAAGATATTTTCCGGCTTGGCCAGGTTGTGGGTACTGTGAATAAGGAGAAGGCCAAGAGATGGGGTTGTTACCATCTACTCCTTGGAGGCTTTTGAATACCCAGCTGAAAAGCTGTGCTTTTTAAGGAAAGTAGGGCAGATCCATTGAAGGGTTTTGACCTGGTAAGTAACTCAATCAGAGCTGTGATTTTTTTTAAAAAAAGATTTATCTGACAACAGTGTGTAGTTGAGTCTGCCAGTTTGGAGGGCTAGAGTAGATGAGGGATAAAGAAGGTCTGAACTAGAAAATGGAAAGAAAAGACATTGAGAAGGTAGAGTTGACAATTTGAAAATTGACTACATATCATGGTGGTAGTGGCACTGGTGGTGGTGCTGGTGGTGAGGAAGAGAGTGAAGTGAAAAATGATGGGAACTGTGATGGTGCTATTCATAAACATTTAAGGACATTTGGAAAAGACAGTTAGCATTGGGTATGTTGAGTGTGGGCCTGTGGTTCAGGAGATGGGTTTGGATTTATGAGAGAGATTTGTAACCTTCCTACAGGTGGGCTAGACAAAACCTTGTGAGGGGATGATAAGACCCAGGGAGAAAGTGGGAGGGGAAGAAAAGAAAACTGCTGAGGACAGAATCTTGGACAATCATCTATATTTAGGGAATAAGAGGAGGACTAAATGATAATATATCAACTAACAGTTACATAGTACTTACTATGAGCTAGGCCTATTTTCAAGTGCTTTTCATATGTTTATTCATGTAGAGGTAGAAGAGAATGCAGGTTGGTGTGGTGTCTTCCATAGAAGCAGTTGTAGAGCAGTTGAGGCTAAGAGCTGAGAAAGGGCTACTCTACTTAGTTCGTGGGCAACTTAATTCTTGGGCAACTTGGGGCTCCTTAGCAACTTGAACAGAAGCTGGATTACAATGATTTTAGGGAGATGAGTGAGATGGACTGGAGACAAAGGGTTGATGTTTATTTTTAAAAACTTAACTATGGAGGAAAGGTGATAGATAGGCTCATACCTTGGAAGAAAGAGCAGATGGGAAAGATTTTTCTTGTATGATACAGAAGATTCATGTGGGTAAAACTTAGGAAGGAATATTTAGCATTGGAAGGTTAGACAATTTAAAAGAAGGCTGGCTGGATTCAAAAGATATAAATCTCTATGGGAATGACTTGAGTTTTACAGCAAGAAAGTTAATTATTGCAGATATAAAGGAGAAAGGAACAGAAGTAATGTGATTGAGGGAGAATACCAAACCGTATCTGGCAAGATGAAGGAAAGGAATTACAGTTTTGTTTTTTTTTTGCGGTACGCGGGCCTCTCACTGTTGTGGCCTCTCCTGTTGCGGAGCACAGGCCCAGTGGCCGCGGCTCACGGGCCCAACTGTTCTGCGGCACGTGGGATCTTCCTGGACCGGGGCACGAACCCGCGTCCCCTGCATCGGCAGGCAGACTCTCAACCGTTGCGCCATCAGGGAAGCCCCATGATAATATATTCTTAATGTGAACACTCAAATGCTTTTACCTCTGCAACCACTTCTGAGCCCTTGCTGTGTATTAGGCAGTAGGCACTGCAGGTAAAAGTTAAATAAGAGTTTTTCAAACTTACTTTTACTACAGCTCATTGTAAGAAATGTATTTTCTATCACAGTCCATTATATATACATACACATATAACTGTTTCTGAAAATGATACTAATTGTTATGCTCAGTGTCTTCTGATATCTTCTTATCTATTAAAAAACTTATATTGTATGGCTCACTGAATGATTTATCCATTTGTGGTGGATTGGCTCCTAATGTTTGATAAACACTGAAATGAGGTACAGCTTTTGCCCTGGATAAATACATAAAACTAGGAGGATAGGGGCATAAACAAATAACTATGAAATGGAACCACAATAAATAGTGGGATCCCCATTATAGGAATCCAGCTGAAAGAGCAATTAATTCTGCATTGTTGGGGTTGGCGGTAGAATTTGGGGATGACTTTATAGAGGAAGTGCCATTTAACGCAGACGGTAAACACGGAGGAGGATTTTTCCAGAGGGACAAATGGAGAAGGTAATTACCAGTGCAGAGAACAGTAGGGGCGAACATTCTGAGACATGAACATGTGATATATATTCTGGAAATGGTTAGCAGTTTACAGCTGGTGCTTAGGGTGGATTCTGCAAGGTTCTGTCCCAGGTGCTAATGGGGAGTTAGTCAAAGATAAAATGGAAAATACTGGTTGGGGCCAGATTATTGCTTTTTAAAATTATACTTAGGAGTTCAGCATATTGTTTAACAAGGGAGATTTTTGAGCAGGTAAGTGACATGAGATTTGGGGCTTAGAAAGTTGGCTGTAGCAGTTTTCTTAAGGATTGATGACGGAGGCCAGACTGGAGCCAAGGAAATATAGTAATTATGGTAGTGATGGCATCAGATTGGGGTGTGGTAAGATCAGTTATTTAGCCACCTGCAAGTTGCATTTCTCTAAAAAGAAATGCTGCGGATTGTGTCATCACCTGTTAGATTGAGGAAGTGGAATGGAAACTGCTACTCTGGACCTAACTGTTACGGTAGGGAGGAATTGGTTGGCAAGTCGAAAATACTTCCACTGGGAGAAAAGGACCACAAAATTTTAAAGTTCATGGTAACCGAGCTTTTAAGGAGGTGGATGTTCAGCAATTTAGAGAATAGATATTACTCCAAGACCTAGAAAGCTAAAAGGCAGTTTGGTGAAAGGGTCCTAACTGGGAAAAAAGGAGGAGGCACCTGAGGGAACTGGTGTGCTTGCACTGAAAGCAATCTAAACTCAGATTCCAAAAAGGCATGTACAAAAGAAGGGCACATTCTGAAGGTGAATATATGAGGGTGGCACTAGCTTTTAAGAACAGTGTCAGGAAAGCTAATGTGACTGAAGGCAAAGATTGTAAAAATGAGGCAACTAGAAAGGGTTTTTAACATTATGTGGAGTGCTAAGAGCAAAGAAGTTTCCTTCTTGGTTGGGCTGGATGGTGTAATACCAAAATTATTCATTCAACACTCAACAAATATCTTTCATGCACCTACTCTGGGCTTTTATAATTTATAGGCAAAAGGGAAGTGGAATACTTCTTTTTTTTGAATTTTATTTTATAATTTTTTTTATATAGCAGGTTCTTATTAGTTGTCCATTTTATACATATTAGTGTATACATGTCAATCCCAATCTCCCAATTCATCACGCCACCACCCCGCCACCACCCCCCTCGCACTGCCTTCCCCGCTTGGTGTCCATACGTTTGTTCTCTACATCTGTGTCTCTATTTCTGCCCTGCAAACCGGTTCATCTGTACCATTTTTCTAGGTTCCACATATATGCGTTAATATTTGTTCTTCTCTTTCTGACTTACTTCACTCTGTATGACAGTCTCTAGGTCCATTCACGTCTCTACAAATGACCCAATTTCATTCCTTTTTATGGCTGAGTAATATTCCATTGTATATATGTACCACATCTTCTTTATCCATTTGTCTGTTGATGGGCATTTAGGTTGCTTCCATGAGGAATGCTTAACTTCTTATTTTCCCTTTGCCTTCTCTGGGGAAAAGGATTTTTGTTTGTTTGTTTGTTTTTGAACAAATGAAGTGATCATTGGTTATTGCCAAGAAGAGTCCTCAATAGGCAGAGATTTTAGGTGGGTCACTTAGCTCACTTCTCTTGGTCGAATTATATTCCTTGGCCTTGAAGGAACTTGGCATGTGAAATAATGTCGGTGATCTT